TATTTAAATTTGACAACCAAACCATCATTATAATCCTGTAAAACATATTATATCCACTATTAATATGCTGTGTGTGTGTTGTTTTGTGGTGAAGCTTTACTACACTCAGTTCTTGCATTGTCTTTATCCGTTTCCCTTTCTTCTGTCCTGATCCCCGTCTCTTGCTCCCCTCCTTCCGATTTTCTCATGTTTTACAACAGAAGTGGATGTGAGGCCAAATTTGGCAGTGGCTCTAGTGGCCATCTGGTGCTTTGTGTATAGTTGTGTGTATGTGTGTGTTGTGCGTGTGTGTATTTTTGGCTGTTGACAGCAGATCATGATGAACCTTTTATAAACAGAGCTCTAATGTGTGTACACACACCACACCATCCTGTATGAGGCCTTATTGATCTTTTTGGTACAGAGTGATGTAATAGGGCAAGTAATATCATCCACCACTAAAGCACTGAGATCTGTAATTGTGCTGAACTATTTGACTTTTTATTTTTTTAAACGTTTGTGTGAATTGCAATGTTTAAGATGTTGCTTTCTGCTTCTTTCTGTCAAAACCCCCCGATTTGGCCTCCTTAAGGATAAAGTGCTGTGCAGAGGTCTTGCCCATGTTGTTGCCATTTATTGAAACAGGCAGACATGCATAGAAACACAACATATACGGGAAAATCCAAATTTATAGACTTTAACAAGCTTGAAAGTCAATATTTTGTAAACGCAGACTGAATTCTCAGTCTGCTTTTGTAATTAAAGTAGTCTTCAGGTATAGTTTTCAAGGTTTCTTACCTGGAGAGGACATTACAAAGTTCAAACGCCTTCCAGATGATACAGCATGGTGGAACTAAATCTGAGAGTACTTTTTTGCAATCATAATTCCATCAATTTTGACAAAAACCTAACAGCACTTGCTGAAAATCAGCCCCAAACCTTGACATAGCTTCTACCGTGTTTTACAGATGCCTGTAGAGGCTCCCTTCTGACCTTTTCCATACATATTGCCTTCTTTAAGAATGGCTTCTTGACAGCCAGCCTTCCACTGAGAAGCCAAGAGGTCATTCCTGATGAAGCTTCAGCGAACAGTAGATGAATCAGCTAAAGTACCAGATACATCACAAGAAATAAGTGTGGTTCTTTAAAAGAAAAATGTAACGTAATGAGGGGTGGCTCAAAAGTCTTGCACATCACTCTAAATGCTCGGCAAGTGTGCTGCTTAAACACCAGTGTGAGTTGATGTATTGGCAGAAAGGCTGCAACAAAGAAAGAGCCAGACAGTGCAGCTTCAACTCCCACATTTTAGCCTCTGAGCTGCCAGCCTGCAGTATTACATCTTATATTAGCCTGATGTATATCAACATCTATATCGTTCTGCTCTTCACATATATGCAAATTCAAATCAGTCCTTCTGCCTACAGTGAGAAGCCTCAGGGGAATTTTACCTGTTATTGAATTCATCACTAATACAGCAGCTTCGATTTGAGAGGTTATGAGTTTTTAACCTTCTTTGAATCCACCTCTATAACTCTGTATTTCAATTGCGGCTGTTCTTGTTTCAAGTTGTTTTCTTGTTTATTAGATTTTTTCCCAGTTTGCATAATTACAGCTAAACCGTAATATATAACGTTTTCCTTTATATAGAGAAATCTGCTTGTGCTGATTTTCTTCTCTCGCCCGCAGATGGAACACCGACATCGTAAGAAGGAGACATCCACCCCTGCTAGCACCCATCATCTGTTTGTCCACGTGAAGAGTCTAATGAGCGCTAATCTGGGGGAGGAGCTGGAAGTCTTCTTTCACATTTATGATGGACGGGAGAACCGGCCACTCAGGTAGAGACTTTATAGGCAACATGCCTTTATGATTCTAATTGGGCCTTTTCAAAAATCAAATATTTTTCCATCTAGCCTGTAGTGCTGTTTGTGTAGCTAGATTGTTTTGGTACAAGTTGCCCAGTTTTGGAACAATGAAGTTCAGAGATGGTTGCATTATCTTTAATATAGTGGAACTGAATGGCACTTGTTTAGTGGCTGAACTAAGTGTAAAGGGAAAAGTGTCATTCTTACCATGATGAGAGGCCCATACTAGCATCAGCATTACAGGATGTACGTCTTGCCATTAGCCAAACTGTTAGCTCATTAGCTAAATTTAGGTTGTTGCCTAACCACAAGTCTACAAAGAGACATTATTTAATTTTAATTTATTTATTTAACATTTTTTCTTTCTCTTTTTTGTTGTTTTAGCATGTTGAGAACTAGAATGCCAGTTTCATTTAACGCCATTGTATCGGTGGAAATTGGATACTTGTACATTTGAACTCAAACCAAAACTTTCTGAGTGATGTGATGAAGTGATGGTTTCCATCACTGTGACATGTTATGATTTATTTATTTTTGGTCCTTACAGTGTGTTTTTAGACCAAGCAGCTTGATTTATCAGCTTGTATGTTGTTTTCTTGGATTGTAGGCCGCAGGAAAACAGTTCCTTGCTTGTTCATAAGGTTGTATGGTTTATGGCATTAAATCCTGTGGGAGAGTGAAATGCAAATGAGCTGCTCTGTTGATTGTGAACGCCCTGTGCCAAACGGCTCCCCTTAGACTGCTCTTAATTATATTCATGAAGATTTATTAAATGAAGCAGGTTATTAAAGTGCACTTGAACACACAAAATTGGACAAGGCCATGTTATTTTATTTCTTTATTTATTTTTAGGAAAAAAATGTCCATGTGAAAGCTGGTACTGGTGCCCTGGGAGGTTGCATGTGTTACTTGCATACATGCTTACACACCAGCAGATACCACACTGTTCTCCTGACAGGGTGTTGCCCAAATGGAAGACTGTGTTGAAACTCCCTGGTTTCAAAGTTCAAAGTGAAGAAATTTTGTTTCATGTCACAAAGGAGCGAATTTGTCAGGCAAAAGAAAAGCGAGTGGGTTGAAAAATGAGCACAGCAGCACTGAAACTTCTTTTGATAAGACGTGCTTGTGTGAGAATACTCTCCGCCCCACAGGGTCACATCAGAGGAATTAGAATGGTGTTGATGGGACTCTTTTTTTTTTAAAAAAATTATTACTCTCTATTATTATCCAGTAGCCCTACTTCAGTTTCTATTGTAATCCAATTTATGATTCATCCATATTGCTGGCAACTTTCTTTAAACTTTACATGAAAATAGCTGCGGTTTCCACCGTTCCTGAAGAATTATAGCACAAAAGAAGGAAGGCGCTATCTTTTCTTTTTTACAAGTTTGCCATTTTGTTTGGTTGCAATGATGTTATTAATCTGAGAGAAAAATAGGGCTATAACTGTCATAGAGTTACAGCGCGTGGTACACCCTGGACAGATCATCAGTCTGTCACAGGCTGGGATGCTGAGTAAACCATTGAAATTTTGAACTGAAAGATGTTGTTGTGTTTGTATAGAGAATACACATTTTCAACTAGTTTCTAAGTTGTGGACAGGAGCAACAAAAGGATGGACAAATTAAATTCTTAAAAAAAAATACTGGCTGAAACTTTGATTCATAATAACTGGGTAAGGACAAACCAAGCTTGCATCAGTTCAGTATCCAGAGAGTATCCAGAGAAATCGGTGTGCAAGGGACAAGGCCAAAACCCAATATCAGATCGGGAAGAGCCATTGGGGCGATCGTGGCTCAAGAGTTGGGCGTTTGTCTTGTAATCGGAAGGTTGCCGGTTTGAGCCCCGACTCCGACAGTCTCGGTCATTGTGTCCTTGTGCAAGACACTTCACCTGTTGCCTACTGGTGGTGGTCAGAGGGCCCGGTGGCGCCAGTGTCCGGCAGCCTCGCCACAGCACAGGTTTTCACTTGTGCTGTGGTCTGACCAGTGGGCTAAACAGCTGTAATGTCATGTGGTTTGTTATCAGCACACACTTTTAAAGTCAACAATTTTAGCAAGATGAGGGGGGATTTAACAAAGTAACGCGTGCATCTGTGAAGGCAACATTAATGCTGAAAAACACATTCATGTTTTGGAGCAGTGTATATGCTCCAGTTGGCATGTTTTTCAGGGGTGAACCCTTGCTTATTTCAGTAAGATAATGCTAAGACACGTTCTGCACTTGTGTATTACAACAGGAGGTAAATGTCTCTGTGTGCTAAAGTGGGCTGCCTGCAGTCCAGACATGTTACTCACTGAAAGCATAAGGACCATTACTACCAAGAAATGTTCCTCAAATGAATATGGAAGAACACATTCTTGTTCTCCTCTTTCCAGGTTGCTGGACATCAAAATTCACTATTGCAAAATATAAGCTTTGGTACTGGTTAACATGTTAAGCTTACATGTGAAAGATCCCTGGTTCGATTTCCCCCTCAGGGTTTCACAAGGTAGCGTATTCCTAGTGCTGGTCCTGGGCCTGGATAAATGTGAGGGTTGGTTCAGGAAGGGTCCAGCTTAAAATCTGTATCTAGGTAAAATATAGCTTTAAATTAATTTTACTTTACTACCGCTTGTATTTCTTAAAAATTTAGTGTCCCTGTAAAATATATGGCTTAGTAATAATTAAGGGTTTTTTTTTCAGAGTGAAAGTGGGTACTTTTTTGTCGTGAAGTGGGTAATTAGTCTTCAGCGCCATCGTATCATGTTCCACTTGAAGCCCTTTTGTTCTTTCTTTTAAACTGTCACTCTTTTTATGTCATCATTTTTTTCCCTCTTTTCTTTTAGTCTTCTTGCTTCTTTGAAAGATTGAGTGCCTTAGCTAAGCATGAGTAATTACACTCACTAAGCTTAAATATATATTTGAAGTGGATTAAAAATCCATTTTCTGGAGTAGAGTAAAGTCCACTTCAGTAATGCTGAAATTATATACTTAACAGCAGCTTCGGAATTCATGATGCATCACAAATGAAATGTGAATTTATCCAAACTCAATTCAGCAAGAGAGAACACAGACAAAGCTATATTTTTCTCATAACCACTTATGTTGTTGCCTAAATCAACAATTTGGGTTTTCTTGCAATTTTGAGGGATAAAGGCAGTCAGAGGCTTCAACCACAGTGCCTTTATGCTTCTAATTTTCTGCGTCTGCAAGTGCGTTTGCTTGCATCAGTTGTCTTTTAGGAAAATCTCGCAGTGGCAGCTCGCCAACGTGTCTCTCACTGTCTGGTCACATGCATAAACAGAGACGCACTCATTTACACAATCTGGCTGGCAGAGAGCCATTTTGCTGCTTCCCTCTGTGCTGGTGGTTTATCTGTGTGTGTGTGTGTGCACGCAGACCAGATGGGGGGTCTGACCCGTTGTCTCAATACCACGCCAACACCATCATCCCCTGTGCACCATGGCAGCTTCTTTGTGTTCAGTACAGACTCCTTGTCAGGCTTTCCAGAAGGACACACACACACACACACACTGCTGTACTGCGCTCATGGCCCATGCTGTGGGTTCTGATGCTGTTCGACACCAAGATCGCACATCACAAACCGACTTACACGCTCATATTTCCCTCCTCAGAGGTTTAATTTTACTTCTTGCAAAGGTCCTTGACTTGTGTGGATATTGAACCGTTCGATACAGT